CCCACAGGATCAGGTTCCACACACATGTCCACGGGCACGTTACCATTCACACCAATCAGTCGTGGCCCGTGACCAAGCATGTAATCAGGCAGCACCCCGACCTGGCCACTAAGACGCTCCCACGATTTAAGGCCTTGGCCACCCATGGGGCTCGGAGGGTCTGCAGCAACCAGGTCTGTCGACGAGTGGGCCCCAGCTCCAGCCGATCGGCCTTCCCCAACAGCCTCAGAGCGCTTCCCTCCATCATGAGGGTGATCGGGGAGGTCCCTCTCAGGCTTCTCAGCTGAGCCCACATGGGATTGTGCCGAACGAGTACCCGCAGCAGACGATCCTGAAGTGGCCGTCGAACGTGACGCTGCTGTATACAGAGGATCATGGCGCGCATCCTGGAAGAAAAGATCAGTGCGCAAGGCTGGAACTTGAAACACCAAGCCGGCCCACTCAGCATCGATAACTTTGTCTTCCAGAAAATCTGAATGAGTGGTCTGTGCCTCCTGATCGATCAAAGGCGCACAATGCGAGACATTTTCAGATATCATCTGACCCGCTTTTGGCTCACTCATCAATGTGATCGCGTCCACTCTGCACTCGCCGACCTGACTCTCGAAGTAGCAGTCCAGAAACTCTGCCGACAGACTACCCACGCTTCTGTCGCTTTGCAGCAGCCGCCTGGAGCTGTGACTGGAGCTTGCGTCTTGTCTCCTTGAGCTGTGCCCGTGCTGCCTCGACTCCGTCACCTTCAGCAGCTGCCGCTCGCTCCTTAGCCTGCCGCACAGCATCGGCGGCCTCTGCGAAGGACTGCTCATCCTCCTCGTCGAGCTCCATGTCCGCACCATCACATGGCACAGCAGGAAGGGGAGAAACGCCATTGCGAGCAGCAATCGCTTGGGCCTCAAGCATGCCGAGCAAGACCTCAAGGTGCTTGGATCCCTGCTCGTCTCCCTTCTGCGCGCGGAACCACTCCCGAAACTCGACCGAGGCCGCCCCAAGCTGCTGCTCCTCCAGCTTGAGCACAGGCCCGTCAGTCTTGGCCAACGACTTGGCAAAGCACTCCTTGGCCTCCTGCTCGAGGGCCGCGACCTGGCGCTGCGCCTCCACCAGGGACTCCCTGGCGCAATTGAGACGCTCCTCGAGCATCTTGCGCGCATCCTCAACCTCCTTCGTGACCGTCGCAAGCTTGGTCTCGAGCGTAGCCGCAGTAGACCTCGCACGCTCCAGCCTGGTGGTGATGCTGTGCTGCTGTACATGTGCTTGCTTGGCGTCATTGATGGCCTTGTGGATCTTGGCCACCATCTCCTCCGCCATCGCCTTATCCTCCTGGTGGACCGAGAGTCGTGCGGCCTTCTGCCAGTAGGCCAACCGCTCCTTCGCCTCCTTCTGGTCATCGGCTGGGGCCAGGCTGCCCGTGCCGTCGCCCTCGCCCCCCCACGGCGGGGGCGGAGCAGCGGCAGTGTACGGCGCCGACTGCTTCTCGAGGCCTTCGAGACGTCCCAAGATCTTCTTGAGCGTGGCATCGAGCGGACTGCCCGAGCTCCACTGTCCCTTCGGAGGCTTGCCACCACTGGCGCCACCAGCGACCACCTGCTCATGGGCGGCCTTCGCACTCTTCTGCACAGCGGGCGGCGCAGGCGAGCCGCATGCACACTTGATGCGAGATGCCCAGTTGCCTGAGCGGTGGCACTTGGTGCAAGCCCACAGCGGCTTCCTCGGCCCCAAGAACACATCCCTAGAGCCCATGGACACAGCAAGCCGACTGTGGTGCGCCAGAACGCGTGCTCACCCAGCCTGGGAAGGCGCTGGGGGCGAGCACAGAGATGAAAGCTGAAAGCACGGGGGCCTTGAGCCGCCCCCTTGGCTGCGAAACAAGCTCCAACGTCGGGAGCAGCGTTGGAACTTGAGCCAAAATGGCTACGGACAGGATGAGCAACTTTCCGAGGTTGCCCTCGCACCCTTCCCCTTCGGCCCATCCTTGGCCGCTTTCGCCAGCCGCGTCCCGCTCGCAAAGTGTCGACATGGCCTTCCAAGGCCTTTGCATCCTGATCGTGCGTCCTGATTATACGGATTGACTGTACTCTGTGTTTTTTTCCGAACTTCCCCTTCCTGCTGTTTATAATACTGAGGGCGGCCCTCTGGGAACGACTGCCGCTTGAGGGTACGTTGGGCAAACTCGCGCGGCTTTGATGGTCTTTGGGCTCCTCGGAGTCTTTTACCAGGGACAGTGGCTCCGGGGACGCGACCATGGCGTAACTTGCTAGGGACCGTGGCCTAAGAGGCGCGAGCACGGCGTCACTCACTAGAGATCGTGGCATCGATGCGAACAGTGCTTAATTCATGAGGGATCGTGGCCTCGGCAACGCGAATATAGAGGAATTGGCAAGGGATCTTGGTCTCGGGAATGCGAATATAGCGTCACGAAGGATCGTGGCCTCGGAGACGCGAACATAGCGTAATTTACGAAGCATCGTGGCCTCGGAGACGCGAATATTGAGGCCTGGCGCGCGACAAGAGGGCCATGTGCAAGGATCGTGGCTTCAGAGACGCGAGCACTGCGCAATTTACATGGGATCGTGGCCTTGAGGGCGCGACTATAGTTTAATTTGCCAGACATCGTGGTTTAGTGGACGCGAATACGGTGTAATTTACGAGGGATCGTGGACTCGGGGACGTGAACGTTATGTCATTTATGATGGATCGTGGCCTCGGAGACGCGAACATGGCATAACTTTTTGGGAGACGTTGCCTCGGTGACGCGAACATGCCATAATTTACTGGGGATCGTGGTCTCGGAGAAGCGAATACCGCGTAAATTACGAAGGATCGTGGCCTCGGGACTGCGAGCATGGCGTAATTTACAAGGGATTCTGGCCTTTGGGACGCGACTTTTGCATAATCTACCAGGAATCGTGGCCTCGGGGACGCGAACAGAGTATATTTTACGAGGGGTCGTGGCCTCGGAGATGCGAATGCTTGGTAATTCGAAGGGGATCGTGGCCTCAGGGACGCGAGCATGGTTTTTTTGTGCAAGGGATTCCGGCTTCCGGGACGCGAGGATGGCATAATTTAGAGGGGATCGTGGCCTCGGGGACGCGAACCTCATTTATTGTTAGGTGTCCCAAGCCCCCCCCCAGGAATTCAGGCAACGCGATTCGGGGACGCTGCCGGCCAGCGTCCCCGGTTCCTGGGAGAGCTTCAAGCCGTCCAGCCCAGCGGCTGGCCAGGATGGTTTGGGGCTCCCCCCCCCTCGCGCGGTCAGTAACAATTTCCAGCAGGAATGAAAGCAGGACTGTAATATTGGAGACTTGAGACTGGAACTGCAGCAGGGATCGGCAAGCAGAAGCCGCGCTGCCTGATGGCCCCACAAGGGGGGCACGAATTTGTAGCATATTCGCCTTCTTGGCCTCGGTGGCCCCTCGAGGGGCTCAGGAGGGCCTAAAGCAGTTCCCGAGGAGGCGCCTCCAAGACGGACCCAAGGGTGCTCCAGTAAGGCCCGAGATGCTTCCATGTTCCAGAAAGGCTACGAGAGGACACAGCAAGCACAGTGCTTTGTGCTCTCATTTGGGCCCAAGAGGCCGAAGAGGCCCCCAAGGGGCCCCCAAGAGGCCCCAAGATGTCCCCAAGAGGCCCCCAAGATGTCCCCAGGATGCCCCCAAGAGGCCCCCCAGAGGTCCCCAAGAGGTCCCAAGAGACCTCCAAGAGTGCTCCACGAGGCCCCAGGAGGTCTCTAAGAAGCCTCCTATAGGCGCCCAAGAGGCTCACTAGTCTGCTGTGCTGGTCTGCAGTGCTGGTCTGCCTTGTTGGTCTGCTGTGCTAGTCTGGTCTGCCGTGCTGGTTTGCCGTCTGGTCTGGTCGGCCGTGCTGGTCATACGTGGGCCCACGAGGCCTCAAGAGGCCCCAAGAAGTCCTCATTCATTGCCTATTGCCTCGTTCACTCGAATATCATGGTTTAGGCGAGGGGGGGTCTTGCGGCGTGGGGTAGGAGGTGTTCAGTTGGAAGGGCGAAGGGTCAGAAGGGGTGTTGGAAGAGAGAAGAGGGAGCCATGATACCACATTCGCCCAGATGGCTGTTATGACGACGAGCCCCAGAAGGAAACACGTACATCATGCGATCGAAGAGGTCTAACGGTTTGGGGGAACAGCGGGTGCTCCATCATTTTGCCAGTGTCGGCGGCCTTGGGAAAGCGAGGACACTCTCCAGCAGCGAGCCCGAGCTCGACCAGGGCCTCGCAGCGGTGGCTCCCTGGGAACTGGTCCCCGTCCTCGCTCGACTTCACCTGCTGATCCCTCCCCGTGCTGAACTGACACGCCTCCTCCTGCCCCCCCAGTGCTCCCCCCCTACTCCCCCCCCCCCTTCTTGCAGGGGGGTTACTCCACGTTTGTAGCTTGACAGGTTTGCTCGAGGGTCGGATGCAACTTGAAGTTGCGGAATCTCATAGGACGTACGCTTGGTCTAAACCTTCGGCTGTAAGCCGGGCTTAGAGCGTCTAGTCTGCTCAGACGTCAAACTGTGCTCCAGAGGCGTGCGTAGTCTTAGTCTGCTCAGACATCAGACAACCGACATCCCCCTCCTCCCTCTTAGTCTGCGTTCCCTCCCCTTCTTCCTTCTCCTGCTCGTCTCCCCGCCCAGGCCCAGAGGAACACGCGTGGGACCGACGAAGATTTCTCTCCAGTTTCAGTATCGTTTAACCGATCCCTATCCCAATCATCCTCCCGATCCCCACCTTCCAACCACCTCAGTTGCGGATATGCCCCTTGAAACCCGAAGGCAAGAGCCTCTATCCCCATCAAGGGTGGGGAGCCTCTATCCCCGATCGACCAGTGGGGAGGCCACGGGATAGGGATCGGTAAAACGAGGCTTACAGTTCTCCAGGGCTTGCCCGCGCAATGGTTCACACGGATCCCCCCACCGCCTCCTCCTGCTCGTCTACCCCCTCTCTCTCTCCCCCCCCTCTCTCTTAGTCTACGTTCCCTCCCCCTCTTTTTTCCTACCTGCCCGTCTCCCCGCTCAGGCCCAGAGGAACACGCGTGGGGTCGACGAAGATCTCTCACCAGTACTCCTCAGGGACAACGGTAGGGGGGGATACGCTCAAGGGGGGATGCATCGACCCCCACTCGCTCATCGATCGCCGCTAGGGGCATGATAGCCCACTCCGCCCAGGAACGTGCGATCTATCGGCGATGTATCGCCCATTCCGGGTCGATGTTCCCCCCCCGCCCCCGAGCTGGCCCCCTCTATTGTTGCCCCCTCATCTCCAGGGCTTGCCCGCGCAATGATTCGCGCGGACCATCTGCAGCACCAGAGCTCGCCAGACTCGGACAGCTCGAGGGAGCCAGCCGAGCCCGCCGGCCGCGGCAGCTCCGCGAGCCGCCGCCGCCGTCGTCGCCGGCGCCGTCGTCGTCGTCGTCGTCGCCGTCGTCGTCGTCGTCGTCGTCGTCGTCGTCGTCGTCGTCGTCGTCGTCGTCGTCGCTGCGGCCGCCGCCGCGGAGCGGCCTTCCGCGAGGAGCGCGCCGAGGCTGCGCCGGGGTCTCCGCAGACCGCAACCGACGGGCTGCGGTGCCCCCGCGGCGGCAGCGCGGACGAGGGCCTGGGCGACGGCCGCAGGACGGCGGCGGGCGGGGGGGGGGGAGTTCCGGAGGTGGACAGACCTCCTACCCTGACACGTCGATTAAGGAATTGGCCGTTTTCGGTTCGCGAGGGGGCGTTGCGGCCGTCATCTTTGCGGATCCAGGTCCGTCGGTTTCGGTCCCAGGCCGTTTTCACTAAGGGGAGGTTTGCTAAAGGGAGGTTTGTCCACCTCCGATGAAGCGAGAACAGGCCAGCCTCAACTGGGGGACCCATCGATTTCGACACCCCTCTCGAGGGATCGTCGATGCGATGGGTTCCCCCAGGGGGGTAAGGACCACTGCTCCACCAGTTATGGCTGGTCGGGAGAATCAGAGGAGGAAAAGGTACCCATAGCTCTGTCCTTCGGCCGTTTTCCCCTTTTTGGGCCTCCTGGGAGGCCCTCGTCGCCACCAGTGGAGTTGCCTCGAAGTCCTGGTCAGACCGCGCCCTGGGAGACGTCTGGGGAGCAGCGGTATCGGTACCTTTTGGCTTCCTCAGAGAAGGAGAAGGCCTGCTCAGAAGGCGGCGGGGCTTCTCAGAAGCCCTCGCGCCTTCTGAGAGGCCTTCTGTGTCTTCGGGGAAGGCTCAGAAAAACAACTTCGCAGAAGGCTGGGGGACTTGTGCATCTTGTCTCGTCGGGGGCCATCGAGGAGTGTTCTGGATCCTCTTGCAAGAAAGCACGCGCGAAACTGGCAAATGCACAGGGAATGGACGTCCGAGCGATGGCGACTTCTGAGAAGGCCTTCTCCTTCTCGCTTCCCCCCCTCGCTCGCCGCCAAGCAGGGCTGCCCTGGGCCTCGCCGTTCGCCGCCACGCCTGGTGCGACGGCCACCGCGACACCGCCCCTCAGATCCGGGCGTTGCACGCTTGGACACGGGGCGTCTTCGCCCGAGTTTTCGGGCCCCAGGACCCTCACTGATCGATGCGGCTCGAGAAATAATGCAGAAGGATGGGATCGGGGCCTCTTTTGGTGCTTGTTTTGGCGACGTCGTGCTTTCTTTGCAAGGCTGGTTCTCAGGGGTCGGCGCGGAGGCCGCGAGGTGTGAGAGCGGCGCGTCGATAGGCAGGGCGGCCGAGATTGCCGACGGCGGCGAGGGCAAGGGCCCAGGAGATGGCCGAGAGGCCGGCAAGGACCCCGCCGTCGGCCGTCGCCTCTCCGACGGCCTGTGCGGAGGCGATTGCGCCACAGTCAGCGCCGAGATCATGAGGCGCGCGGAGCACTTCTGCGAGTCCACCGAGGAGGGTCCGGGTGCGTGGAGGCATGCAGGCCGACCTGTCGTCGTAGAGGACGAGGAGGACAGCTTGGTGAGGCAGCAGTGCCGAGAGCTCAACGCCCGTTACGCGGCAGGTGTTGACCTCACGATGAGCTCTTTGCCGAGCCTCACGATGAGCTCCTTGCCGAGCCTCACGATGGGCTCCTTGCCGTGCCTTGAAGAACCCTCATCGGTTCAGCCGAGCCTCACGTTGAGCTCCTTGCCGTGCCTTGAAGAACAGTTCTCGCCGAGGGACGCAGAAGAGCACGAGGAGCCACTGCTGCCGCAGAGCGAGCCCGTGGAGTCTGCCTCGCCGACTTGCGTGTGGGAGCTGCACGACCCGATGGACACCGAGCGCGTGTGCTCCTCAGGGACCATTTCGGAGGCCTTCTCCTGGAGCCGCGAGGCCAGGGTCGCCCAGCCGCAGGTTGGGCCGCCGGCGCTACCCTGCGCGAAGGGGTCTGAACCGGCGTTGTTGGAGGGATCGCGACGCCCACTGGGCCTGACGAGTTCGCAGATTTGCTCCCTGCTGGACACCAACTTTCCCAGCGAGAACTCATCCAGCCCGACCACAACCGGGCACTGCGGTGAGACCTCCACGGTGGTGTCGACGAGGGAGCCATCGCCGTGCGAGCGCGGCTGGGCAATTGAAGACGCCGCCTATCCCGCCGAGGATCCATGCGATTCGGTCGACCCGATCGGGGTGGCCATGATGGAGTGGCGCCAGCGGCGTGAGCAGCGGCGTGAGCAGCGGCGCATTTCTGCGAAAGTGAAGCGCACTTACGGCGTGTGGCTTCGTGAGCGAGCAGACCGGCCAGACGACCAGTTCGGGGCGGGCAATTCACACCAGACGGCTGGCTGGCGGACGCGGTGATGCTGACGATCACGGTGGCCCCTCACCCACCTTGTCGTCCCAGCACGTGCGGCTGACCGACCCCAGCCGACCTATGCTGACGAGCTTGGCTCCTGACAGCACTGTTTGAAGCGCGAGAGATGCCTCCAGTGGCCAAGAGGGAGGAGGGCAGAGATGGGAGGGGGGAGGGATGAGACGCAGCACGTAGCAGCAGACGCCACAGCCAGAGGCCATTCCTGAGGGTCCCGCAGCCGAGCAGAGGCCCCTCCGCCTCGCCACGCGTGCGGACGGCCTGCCCACTGTCGCTCCTCCTGTCCCCTACTCTCCCCCCTCCTCCTTGGCGTGAGCCGTCTTTCTTGGTGGGAGGGAGGCGGCGCTGTGTCCTCTACTCTCCCCCCTCCTCCTCGGCGTGAGCTGTCTTTCTTGGTGGGAGTGAGGGGGGGCCTGTGAGCATCCAGGGGCATGCCCAGACCAGACCTCCGACGCGTCGCTCGGGGAGGCCTGGGAGCGCACCGGCCGCCTTCGAACAGGCGCGGGCGCTGGCGTGCCCCTCGTTGGCCCCCCCCCCGAGAAAGCATCGCGGAACCGTATGCTTTTCGTCAGGGTGCCCTGGGTTTCTTCGCTCCGCGCGCTGACCGGTGACTTCCGTCGGCCGCTGAAGAAGCTGCTACGTTCAGGGTGCTCTGGGTGCATCTCACGCGCGGGTTTTCAGGGCTGGGTTTCTTGCGAGGGTTCCGCACTGTACCCATACCGCTACCTTTCCATCGTTTTCCCCACTGGGGGCCTCCTGGGAGGCCCTCGCCGCCACCGCAAGTTCTGGTCAGAGCGCACCCCAGGAGAGGTCCAGGGAGCGGCGGTATATGCACCTTCCGGTTTTCCCACTGTGCCTAATTCAAGCTTCGCGCGGCCCGCTTAGCTTCGACCGGAAGAGGTGCGCTCTCGACCCGCGGATCAAAACATTGTTTTCCCACTGAGGACCCATACCTCCGACGTTATGCTTTTTGTTCCACAGCGTCGAGCCCCGAAGGTTTCGACTCGGTCCCAGGAGCCTGTCTTGCCTCCCGAGCTGCTTTCTGGCGGTCCCGAGGCCCGGCAGGTGCCCCCTTGAGGCCGAGGACAGGGGGAGACCTGCCGCCTTGAGCTTTTCCTGACGCGAGGGGGTCCTGGGAGGGGGAGGGGGAGGACGTGTGATGGGCCTGTTGTCCACCACCACCACCACCACAAGTTGGAGAGGGAGGGGGCCCTCCTCCTCCTCCTCCTCCTCCTCCTCCTCCTCCTCCTCTTCCTCCTCCTCCTCTTCCTCCTCCTCCTCCTCCTCCTCCTTTTCCTCCTTCTCCTCCTCCTCCGCCTCCTCCCTCCCTCCTCCTCCTCCTCCTCCTCCTCCTCCTCCTCCTCCTCCTCCTCCTCCTCCTCCTCCTCCTCCTCCTCCTCCTCCTCCTCCTCCTCCTCCTCCTCCTCCCCCCCCTCCTCCACCTCCTTCCCCCCTCCAACTTATGGTGGTGGTGGTGGAAGACAGGCCCATCAACGTGGGGGGCGTCGTGCGAGTGGCGACGCACCTCTGGAGCTCGCTACAGGGCAGGCCTCGGACCGGGAAGGGGAGGCGCGCCTGGGCGTTCTGGCCCGGCTTCTGCATCCTCCTCGTCCGCGATCAGCTCTCTCCTCGGTGCGTCCATACGGGCAATATTTCTGTCCATCTCCACTGCTTCTTGGACTTTCTGGGAAGGGGCGCCAAAAGGCCGCAGCGCAGTGGATAACACAGCTAGCCTCTAGGGGCCAGATGTTGTTCCAATCCGCTGCGCCTCGGATGTCTGGGAAGGGAGCCCTAAATTCCAAGATGCAGTTGATATGGACATACATCTTGCCCGCAGTCCAGACTGTTTCCAGCATTATCTTAGCTAGTGGTTCCGTGGGTTACCTCGGTCCACGCAGATGGCTAGAAGCTGCCTCTCGGACAGCAAGCGTTTGACGTATGGGCGTGTGCACTGCAAGCTTGCGTTTCACTGTTTCGTGCCTGCCTGTCGTCCCTACTCTCTGACCCAGGATACGAAGATGTAGTTCCCAGAGCTTCTCAGAGCGTTCTGGACATCAGATCTCAGAGGTTCCGAAGTTGCTTTCACCAATGGACTAAGGGTGGTTCGCGTCCTCTCTTCGTTTCACATACAGATGTAGTAGTGGCATCTTGAGTGGCGTGTATGCCACAGGAATGTCACCATATTCTTGAGTCGCTGGCATCGCGAGGCGATCCTGTGTGGCGTACGTGCCATCGGGACATGCAATGTGCCGTAGAGCACGGATATTCCGTTGCTGAGCTTTGAGGTCAACGCAGTACTGAACTCGCTGAGGCCCCGTTAGTGTGGAGGGGACTCCAGCGCGAGCCCGCAAGTGAAAGAAGTGATTACTCGCAAGATCCATTTTAGACGAGCTCAGTTTTTGGCCCGTTGGATACCCTCTTTTGGGCTTTGCTCGGGCCTCGGTCCAGCTCTGCTGCTCGCAGCGCGTGCGGTGATATTGCCTGCACTGGGGCCCGAGCCGCGGTCTGGTGTAGGGCAAGGACAGCCTCGATCTGGAGTGGACGCAGCCGCGGGGGGCCGCGGGGAGAGGTTGATGAGTTTTGGGAAATCACGGTTTTGGAAGCCCCCTGTGAGCGACATGAATGATCTCGGAGCGACCCCGTAAGCGAATGTGTTGCCCCATGGCAGAGTCCCGCACTCCAAATCACATGGTTTCGTAATTACACGCGTAATAAATAAACAGTAAGCGGGTGACATGCTCATCAACACCATGGCAGAGCATACATGCCATTGGGATATCGTGCTCGTGTTCGAACGGTTTCTTTTTGTGGTGTGCGCCAGCTACCTCCTCTTCCTGCTCTTCCGCTTTCTACTCGCTCCTCCTCCGCTTCCTCCCCCCACTACGTTCTCTCCTCCGTCTCCTGGACTGCGGTCGGGTTTACACCCGCCACGCAAAAAGCGGGGACACGGCTCCTGTTCTGCCTGTGCGCCAGGCCACACCAAAAGGGCGCGCCCAAGCCCACGGAGCCATCTGTGAAGCGGTCTGCCGGAGCGCCTTGCTGCCTGGAGCACGCGTCTCGAGGGCCGCAATCAGGCAGCCCGAAGGAGTGAAGAGCGTGTGCACACATTCGCAGCCTTGCTCAGAGCAAACGTTTGAAGATTTGAAGTATGGGTGTGCGCATTGCCCGCCTCGGTCGACGTTTGCGCGCCTGCCCGTCGCCCATCGGCAGGAAAGACTGGGGTCCAATCCAGCTCTCTTGGCGCCGGCGCATGGAATCCGAGAGGCCGTTCGAGATTCTACAAGCTGCGCCTTCCCTTCCTCTTCTTCCTGCTCCCCTACTGCTCCCGAAATCGTATGGCACGAGATGCTGTGTTCAGGCTCAGAGAGTTCTCGAATGCCTTGTTTACAGATGTAGTTGTGGAATGTTGTGTGGCGTGCGCGCCATCAAGAGATCCTGATATTATTTCGTGCTATGATGGCGTCCTGCGTGGCGCTATGCTGTGCGCCGGTTGGGTTCACACCCGCCCTGGCATTGCAACATGTCTCTCTTTTTTTTTGTTGTTAATTTCTTCTCCGCACGGTCATAAAAAGGGCGCGCCCGCGCCCATTGAGCCATCTTTGGAGCATTCTGCCGTTGTCGCCGCCGCCATCGTCGACGTCGTCGTCGTCGTCGTCGTCGTCGTCGTCGTCGCCACCGTCCCTGGCACCTCCTGGGGCTTCCTTGGGCACCTTTGGAACAGGTCTCAGGGATTTTTCGGACCCTCGTAGGTCACCTCTCGGAGCCTTATCAGGGCACCTCTTGGGACGGTTTGGAGGCCATGTTGCGCGTCTTGCAGCGATCACGGGCCGACTTGGGGCCGTCTGTGATACCATTTTGGGGGCCTCTTGCAGCCATCAGGGATTTTTTTGGGGCCCTCCTGGGCGGGGTAGGTCGACGCGAGCGATTCCAGCGGACCCCGGGCCGCCCTGGGAAACAACTGGTCCGGGCCCTCGAATATTTAGCATTACAGTCAACCATGATAGTAAGGATGGGCAACCTTCCCAAGTGGTACCCTTGCATCCTTGCCTCCTCGGTCCATCCTTCGCCGCTTTCGCTGGCCGCGCCCCGCTCGAAAAGCTTCGTAATGGGCGTCCAAGGCCCTTGCATCCTTATCGCGCATCCTTACTATACTGGTTGATTATATGGCTGCATCAGCAGTGCGGCATGAGCCTTGGGGCACTCCACTTCGTGCCAGAGGCACGGTGGCGGACGTGATTCAACACCCAAACCACATAAGGCCAGTGGGCTGGTGGGCTCTATCATACAGTTCTCCGCCTCCATCATGCTTTCACGCTGCCTTCCTCGCTGGGTCTGCCCAGGCGCTCTTCTGCTGGCCGTCAGGGACCAGGCTAAGAGACCTTTCCCTCGCTCGCGCCTCGCCCCCAGGGCTGCAGAGTTGTCCCCTTTCAGCTCGTCGGCCCCTTGTGTCTATTGCGAAGGCCTTACGGCCGGGGCCGCCGACCCTGAAGGGAGACGAGAACGATGACGACGACGACGACGACGACGACGACGACGACGACGACGACGACGACGACGACGACGACGACGACGACGGACGACGACGACGACGACGACGACGACGACGACGACGACGACGACGACGACGACGACGACGACGACGCCGACGACGGCGGCGGCGGCGGCGGCGGCGGCGGCGGCGGCAACGACGACGACGCTGACGTGGGCCAGAATCCTCAGGGCTGGTTCTTGGGATCTCTTTTGAAGTCTCTCCTCTCGGGGGCCTCTGGGTAGGAATATGTAGGAATTGTGGGGCCTCTTGGGAGACTCTTGCTCTTGGGAGCCTCTTGGGGGCCTCTTCGGGCTTCCTGGGGACCTTTTGTGGGCCTCTTGGGGCCTCTGGGCAACCTCTTGAGGCCTCCTGTGAGCCTCTTGGGGCCGACGGCTCGAAATGTCCGTTCGGGTCCCCCGTTTGGGCACTCTCCTGGAGCCGTCTTGGGGGCCTCTTGGGCCGTCTTGGAGGCGTCTTGGGCCGTCTTGGGGCCCTCTTTGGCCGTTAGGGGACCCTCTTGGGGGCCTCTTGGGCCGTCTCGGGGCGATCTTGGGGGCCTCTCGGGCCGTCTTGGCGCGTCGGGAAGCGAAAGAGGCAAGAACGCCAAC